TCGAAACCATCGATGTGGACTTCGAATTCGAAGCCCGCTTGCACTACCAGGCCGCCAAAACACCAAAACCCCTTTCAAACGGCCAGAAAAAAAAATGGAACTCAAGCATTGACAAACAAATGAAAAAAATCCCAGCCCTACCGGATACAGCATGAAGGCCTACAAAAAATGGGCCCATATTTTTGGTTGGCGGCCCAGGCCTTAACGAAATGCCCTGGGCCGCCAATTTTTTTTTTTTGTCGTTGCCCTACCTGTCGGAAATCCGGACTGGGATCCGGACCATTGAACCGGACACCGGACACTGGACGGTCCGGATCCCTGTCCGGTAGTCCGGATCGCTGCCATGGTAGCAGACGAACAACGAAAAAAAAACAAAAAAACAAAACAAAACTCCCTTATGCTGTGATTGAGGGCGGATACAGAATGCAACAGCATTCAGACAGTTACGTGCCACCCGTGGAATACCCCCTGCCACTACAACCACATGAAACCAAAAAAAACAAAAAAAAAGACAAAAGCAAACTACAAACCCACATAGTGGCCAGATACATTCCTCAAAGCACTGGTGTTGCGTTCCACCCTCGTGAGGGCCTTCCCTGACGTCCCTGGATTCCGAACTTTTTTTTTTTTTTTTTTTTTTTTTTTCATGTCGCGTCGGCCTCCAACCCTGCCCCGAGCCACGTGTTTTCAGGAGTAGGCTATCAGATGTACTTTGCGTTTGCCTGTGGAAGGTAGTGGTGGCTTAATGGAATTGTCAAATTGTATTGTGGCTTCATTCTGCATGTTTACATCCCAAGCAGGAGTTGTTTGAGTGGTACTATTTTTGTCAAGCGCAACGGGAGGACTTTTTTGCACTTGCGAAACCCCGTGATGGCCATCCAACCATTGCAAAGTGAGTTTACCGTTGTCCTCTCGAACCGCAAAGCTCGTTAAAAATCAGTCAGTGCCATTATTTCGTTTCCCATTTTCGTTTTTGTATTATCAAGTTGTGTGAGGGGTAAACTCTAAACCCCTGAACCCCAAACCCTGAAGATAGAGTGCCGATTCGTGTACCCTGAACCCCAAACCCTAAAGATAGGACTGTGCCGATTTGTGTACCCTGAACCCCAAACCCTAAGGATTGAGTGCTGATTTGCGTACCCTGAACCCCAGACCCTAAAGATAGGAGTGTGCCGATTTGTGTACCCTGAACCCCAACCCCTGGGACTCCACACCCTGGACCCCCCAAACCCTAAAGATAGGAGTGTGCCGATTTGTGTACCCTGAACCCCAAACCCTAAAGATTGAGTGCTGATTTGTGTACGCTGAACCCCAGACCCTAAAGATAGGAGTGTGCCGATTTGTGTACCCTGAACCCAACCCCGGGGACTCGACACCCTGGACCCCAAACCCTGGACCCCAAACCCTGGACCCCAAACTCTGAACCCCAAACCCTGGGCCCCAAATCATGACCTCAAAGTTCGAATCCTGAACCCTGAACCCTGAACCCCAAACCGGAACCCTGGATCCTCCAGCCCAAACCGCAATTTCTGAACTTTGTGAACATAGGAGATGGTTATTGTAGCATTGGGGAAGATACAGCTATGCTGGACATGGCTGACCTCCCACTTCAGCGGCTGTACGGTTGTTGAAAATATCAAAAGCAGAAATAGCTTGGGTAAGGAAGGAAGGGAGGAGGTGGTGGATAGGCTTCCGTGGTTCTTTGGTGTGGTGTGATCGTGTGTCATGGTAGCTGCGAGGCAGCCACTACCGTAGGTTCCCCGAACATAACGCGTATGTGTTGTGAACGAATTCAATGCATAGGTTGCTTTCTATTCGAATATAATGCATCTGCATTCCATTCGAACAGCGGGTATATTCAAATACAACGCATATGCGTTCTATTTGGATCGTCGCTCTTTTTTCCGAAAACTCGAATACAACGCATGTGTTATATTCGGGGGGAAGATGGTAGGCTGAGTGAAGGAAAATGGGACTCTCTTTGGCGAATTGGAAAACGAAGTGAAGCTTATCGAAAGGTGAAAATCTTCACACACCCCCTTTGGAAATCCTAGGTGCTGGATATGAAACTTCAGGCTAGCAGCCTAGCACTGCTTGACAGACAGAGCCTAATCTTCCCCCATGTAGGTCATACAAATTGTGTGACGACATAATAACATATACGACTGGAGGACGGAGCCTGACTGCCCTATAAAAGCTAGCAGCCTAACACTAATTCACAGAGCTCCATATATATTTATTATTTCTTGGAGTTAGGGTTTATAATTTAGTCAGGGTATGAAAGGTTGGGCTCCGTCCTCCTGTCGTATATGTTGTCACACAATGTCACACAATGTCACACAATGTCGCACAAATTTGTACGATTTCTACGATTTGTTTTACAACTAACTGTAATTTGTTAAGCTGGAATTGAGTGACAAAAGGTCACACAACTTTTGTCACACAAGTTGTTGCCAGGATAAAAAACGTTGCGAGCGTCCCGAACCTCAAGAAGGGTATGGTGCTTCAAATGTGGACATGCAATTCTACTAAAGAAACAAGCTCCTCCGTTCCCTCCCCCCCCCTTCTCCTCCACTCCCGCCTTCCTTTCCCCCGCGCACCCCTGGCCCCACTACCACGACCATCACCACCACCAACCCAAAAAAAAGAGTACGGTGTCACATTAGGTACAGGATTGAATACAATAAATGATTGGGAGTAACAAAGCACACTGGTAAACTTCTTCCCACAAAATACTACATAATACATATGCCATATGTATGTCCAATCCGAGAATCGAACACAACCTACTACGGCTTGTCAGGCAAACGCCTAACCCATAGGCTTAGTGGGCTAGGGTGAAAGTGAAGCCCCAAGATCACTACTTCACACCACCCCAGCATGGATTGCTCCACGGTACGTCGTACCCAACCACACTCATCCCGCACGCCTCACAGCCACACATCCGTGGTACAATTTCTATGGCGGTTACTGCGTGAAAGCAATGCATGTCCGATCGAAGAATGTGGTCCAGATTTGCCCGTATAGTTCATGTTATTTTAGGGTAGGGCTATACTACCGTTATAGACTGGTGAATCCCATCTCTGTGACAAACTGGCTCTGCAGTTTGTACCCTTGGTGATATGTGAGATTGGTTGATGCAGTGATTAGGCTTCATGCTTCACAAGAATCGTTGTTGTTGTCGTGGTTTGTTTGTTGAATAAAAGGACGAAAAAGTTCGGACCATTTCTTGACGTATGCGTGTCATCCTTTTGTCCAGGTGCAATGCTCTAGCCTTATCTTTTGTCCAGGTGCAATGTTCTAACCTTATCTTGAGCACTTGGGAGTTTAATGGATGTTCCAAAAGGCATGCTTGCTTGCTTGCTTGACAGGTCTTATTTTTCGTTGTCGTCATTATGCAATGACCATTAAATGATGATCATGATTATAGTAATATAGTGTCTTTATAGTATGATTACACTCGATAATAATATTTTTTAATATCTGTGCGCGTCCGTGAGGTCGTGGCTGACTGACGAGCGTGCTTGCAGAATGCAGGCCTTGGCAAAGGAGTTATCTGTCGTGCTTCCGGTGAGCTTTTTCGAGCGTTCAAACAATGCATTTTACAACTCGCTGGTGGTGATTGACGCTGACGGGACCAATCTTGGGATTTACCGCAAGTCTCATATACCGGATGGGCCAGGTGATTTTGACGAATTAGTAATTTCATTTCTTCCCCTCATTCTGTCTGCTGTTCAGATAAGCATATGCCCGTCTTTCTCTCGTCCGTCTCTCTTTCACTGACTGAAGCCATGGTTTGTCTTTCGCAAAAGATGCAGTACCATACAAGATCCTCGGAGTTT